ATTTGACAGACTTGCTTCCTCTCTTGGGAATTCCTCCAGGGTTTCTTCCTCGAACACATTATTATCTACCATGTGTTCTGTAATTTTCCTCACAATCTCAATTTTTCTCATCGACTTCCTGACGTTTAATTCCAGCCTTTCCCCTATCTCATATACTTCATCTTTCTTCAATTGACTTAGTTTTTCCGGGGTGGGTTCTTTCAGGAATTCATCTACATTCTCCATTTCTACTCTCTATATATATATATTTTTCGTTCACCTTGTTGTGGTCAGTAAGTGATCTTAATAGAAGCGTTAAAAAGAATTTATGGCACGAGCCCCCATTTGTTTCCGAAGCAAAAATATATCTTTATCCCGGACGAGCCCCCATATGTCATATGCCCCAGTCGACGAACGGGTTATAGGGCGACCATATGCCGACTAGGAGATATATACACTCTCACACCTGTGGAGAGAGAGTGGACAATTGGTAAACAAAAAAAAAGTATTTTTAAGACTACTGTTCCACTGGGATAATCGAACAGTAATCTTTCCCAGGTCCGCTTCGTTTTCAACACAAATACTGATCCACAATCAAGGAGGAACATAAGGCTTAGCGATTTGATACAATAATTTTAATATATACAAATATACATATATCAAAATATAAAAGAACAGATAATTATGAGTTAAACTATCCGACGACCAGATCTCGAACTTATTTGGAATATCAAATTCGCCGAACACCAAATGGATTCAACTGAACCCGAACATATAAAGTACAAGTATGAATTACTATGAATTGAATGCAGAAGCCAACGCGCATACATAAAAGAGATGGGATAGTAATTATAATTATTATTTTACATGTGGAAAGTTGTTTGCGAAAAAAAAAACATAATATTCATGTGTGTGTGTGTATATCTTTTATACTACGGATCCAAAATGTGATTACTTATCTTTTGTATTCAGTTCTCTCTCTTTTTTTTCTTTCTATATATATATCAATGTCCTTTCTTTTCTCGGCACAAACACCATTTCGTATACTGCCAGTCTGTAATAGAGGTATACACTTTCTTCCTCTCTTGTTTCGTCTTTTTCTTTCCTTCCTTTTCTTCTGTAGACGGCTCGGTTTGCAACAGGGATGTACACTTTCTTCTTCTTCTGAAAACAGCTCGCCTTGTAACAGGGACGTACACTTTCTTCTTCTTTTTACAAGTTAGCTTATAACGGAGGTATACGCGCAGGTTGAATCATCAACATATATCTTTTCTAATACGTCTTCACATTGGGATTTTCGAACACGTTATTGCCTTATATTCCGTGTCCGGAGTTGCCTGGATAGAAATAGATAAGTCATCACTATCGAATGCATCTTATCTTTCCGTTCGTGAACCACTAGCATCTCGGCTTCGGTCTTGCTTTTTCAAAGTCCAGATAACAACTGATCCTCGAGTGAATCTTTGACTGTCACGTGTCTTAGTTTTTTTGGCGCGAATTCTTACGTACTTCCATCCCCTGTCTAGACAGTTTCCGTTACGGGTAATTGGGTCAGTCGACCTTTCGACCTGCCTTCCCAAAATGTCATAAGACTTCACGTAATCTTTATTTTGTTGCTAGGCGGAAATTAACCTTCATATGCGCGTCTAGGCTATCTGCTTTCAATGTCCGTCACATCTTCCAACATAACCGAAAAAAGAAAAAAAAACTCTTTTTTTTTTCTTTTTTATCAATATATCCCAACACCGTCGGAACAAACAATGGGTCGTCTTTTCTCTTCTTCTATTTTTTTTTCTTTTCTGATTACTACATCAACAGAGATATACTCTTTATATCATTATACATTTTTCAAATATACACCAGAACCAAAAAAATTTTTTTTTTTTTTTTACACCTTTGTCAAAATATCCAAACATTTTTTTTCAGTTTCAATAACATACACACTCAGTATTATTAAAACATATACATTTTCTTTCAATTTACACATACATATTTTAAATTTTATCAGTTCCACTGAGATATACCTTTCTTTATTTATCCCTCTCAAATTATGGTTAACATCTGCATTCGTTTTTAATATCTCGACAAAGTATCCGCTATATTATTTGCTATTCCAGCAATATGCTTTATTTGAAGATTGAACTCCTGCAATATAAGAATCCACCTTTGTAATCTTCGGTTTTTGTTTCTCATGCAATCTATAAACGTCAACGGGTTATGATCAGTATATATAACTGTGGGAGAAAGAGAATTGGTTATATAAACCTCAAAATGTAGAACAGCTAATATTAATGCTAAGGCTTCCTTTTCTATTGTTGAATAGGACTTCTGGAACTTATTCAATTTCTTTGAATAGAAGCTTACTGGATGTAACTCTTTATCTTCATCTTCTTGCATTAATACAGCTCCGATTCCCACATCGCTGGCGTCTACATGCATTTGAAATGGCTTGTCGAAATCTGGGGTTTTTAACACAGGATTTGATTTTAATTTACTTTTAATGGTTTCCAATGCGACCTCACATTCCGTGGTCCACACAAACTTATGCCCCTTTCCTAACAAGTTTGTTAGCGGTGTAGCGATTTCGGCCAAATTCTTACAATATCTCCTATAGTAATTAGCCATCCCTAAGAACCTTCTGAGACTTCGGTTATTAGTGGGACGAGGAAAGTTTGCGATGGCTGCAGTCTTTGCCTCTATTGGTTTAATCCTTCCTTGTCCTATCACATGTCCTAGATATTTCACTTTGGCACTACAAAATTCACTCTTGCCAAGGTTTACTGTCAACCTTGCCTCTTTTAATCTTTCAAAGACTTTTTGCATCGTATACAGATGCTCACTCTCTGTGTCACTGTAGATTACGACATCATCGATGTATGCATCGACTCCTGGAATATTGGACAAACATCTATTCATCAGACGTACAAATGTAGCTTGCGAGTTCCTCATACAAAAAGGCATAACTCGATATTGATAAGTTCCTTCTGGGGTGATAAACGCTGATATCATTTTCGCTTTGTCAGTTAACGGTACGGCCCAATATCCTTTCAGCATATCTAGCTTGGTGATATATTTAGCCTGACCAATCCGGTCGATACAATCTTCCATCCAGGGAATTGGATAAGCATCTGCCTTCGTGATGCTGTTCACTTTTCTATAATCCGTACAAAACCGTACAGTGCCATCCGGCTTGTCTACTAATACACAGGGTGATGCCCATTCACTTTGACTAGGCTCAATAATTCCGTGTTCCATCATATATTTAATTTCTTTTCTCATAACTTTCAACCTTTTGGGGTTTAAACGATATGGATGCTGTTTGATCGGTTGTTCCGCCGTCAATATTATATCATGTACTGCGGCATTGGTCTGCTGGGGTGTATCCGAGAATATATCCCGATATTTATTTATTAAAGTTCCCAGTTTCTGCTTTTTACATCATCAGTAAGGTGAGCTAACTTTTCCTCCAGATTTTCCAATATTCTGGAATTTTCCAATTTAAGAGGCTGGTGCTTTTCTATCCAGTGTTTATCTTCCTTATATCTTTCTACCTTCTCTTTCTCTTGTTCACTCACTAGCATTACTGCTTGTTCTTCCTTTCTTTTACAAAACATTTTCAACATGTTTATATGACATTTTACTTCTCCTTCGGCTAGGCATATGTATCAAATAATTCAAACTGTTTAATTTCTTCAGTACTTTGAACGGCCCCTGGTACTTTGCCTCAAATGGTCGACCGTTCGAAGGTAACATTAGGAGTACTTCATCACCTTCCTTGAATTGCCTGTTAACGGCATGCTCGCCTTCTACGTAAGCTTCAGAGATACGGTATTACAGGACGATTATTTGATTTAATCCAATCATTCCTGTCTAAACTGTCTTGAACGGGTCTCATCCAGTACCTTCCATGCGAACACTGGTGTTCATCAAGGCTCTATCCTGGGTCCTAACGTCATCAGTTCTCAAGTCGGTATATACGCAGACGACACTACCATTTACTCTTTTCTCAATAGTAAATGCGGCATTACTGACAAAGTTAACCTGGACGTTGATCTCGAAAACAACCTCCAATTTGTGGCTGACTGGGGACAGGAAATGGTTTGTGAATTTTAATGCATCCAAAACGAAAATGCTGTCATTTACTCACCATAGAGAAAAGTCCCTGCCTCCTATCAGCATGGCTGATGCTCAACTTCACGAGTGTACCTCACTGCAGCCTCTCGGTCTCACGTTCTCCACTGACCTGAGGTGGAACAACTACATTGAATCAATTGCCGCATCTGCCGCAAGGAAAGTTAGTTCTCTGTGTCGCGCCAGAAGGTTTTTCTCGTCTGAATCTATCCTTCACATCTACAAATATAACATTCGTCCATGCATGGAACTCTGTTGCCATATATGGTTTGTTGCCCCCGCTGTTAATCTCGAGGTTCTCGACAAAATCCAAAGACCGATATGTAATGTGTTTGGCACTGACTTGGGGTTTCGACTCCAGTCACTTTCTCACCGACGTAATGTGGCTTCTCTCCGTCTTTTCTATAAATATTTTCACTGGTGCCCCGACTGCATGAATTTAAGAGTGCTACTAGGTTGGTATCTCCGTCCCACCCTTTTACTGACGAAACAGTTAAATGTAACCGCCTCTTTTACCCAAACAGCTACTTCTCTCGCACTTCCCTTTAAATGTAATGTCAATCAACATTTTTTGCCTTGATCCTCGTTCTTCTTATTATCTTCCTCCGTTCTTCTTTTTATTCTCCCTCCCCTATACCCAGTCTTTTCCCTTATTTACACATTCTGTAGCCACTTGCGTACTAGTGGCACCTCCGCCTTGCTTGGGATGAATTGCTTAAAAACAAAAACAGTATAAAAATTATTCGGATCATGTCCAGAAATATTTAACTTTTGTTCATATATTTGATAGTTCCAATCCTGTTCATATATTTGATAGTTCCAATCCTGTTCATCTTAAATTCAAAATGAAAATGTTTCATTCTCCTTTTTCTTTTTCGATTCTTTTCCAG